GCCCCTTCTGCCACCTCTTCCCTCTTGTGCCAGCCACAAGCACTAAAGAAAATCTCTTAAAGCTTTTATTATGAAAGGCCCAGCTTTTGCAAACACTTGGGCAGTACTTATCTTTACTAGTACAACACACACAGGCGCCCGCTTCTTCCTTTCCCCGGGGGGGTGCTCAACCCCCACTCAGCCCCAGGCCCCACCACACTCCACCCTTTCCCCCAAGGCCCCACCCCTGCCCCGCCTCTTCCTGCCCAATTCCACCCCCTCCCCCAAGCATGCCCAATCCCCGCTCCTCCCCGTCCCCCCAGATCCTCCTGCACGCCGCAGAACAGCTGATCACGGCGGGCAGGAGGTGCTGACAGGGAGGGGGAGGAGTTGATCAGCAGAGCCACCGGCCGGTGGGAGACACTGGGGGAGAAGGGGGGAGCTGGCTGCCAGTGGGTGCTAAGCACCCACTAATTTTTTCCAGCCCTGGAGCACCCACGAAGTCGGCGTCTATGACGACACATCGCATTGGTAAAATTAAACATGTTCTGTAAGTGCAGGATCGGGGCCTAGGTGGAAAGCACTTGACATGCGCCTCTGTAATCCATTAGCCAGCCAGATATGAAAGCGAGATAACTACTCCATGCCAAGTATAAGCATCAAACATCGGCTCCTTAAAGAAAGCACGAATTAACCCTGTCAAATGTGCTCGTGAAATAGACGAAAAAGCCAGAACGCTATGGACTCCATGCCCAAGTAAGGGGGAAAATAAGAATCTCCCCCTTTATATACCTGTCTGGGAACAGAAATAAGCACACTGCACACCTGCTTTCTCCTCCTGTGTCAGGAGATGAGGGAAATGGGCAAAACCCAGGCTCCCCTCCACCTACACACAGGCCAGTGCAGCTCAGCCCTCTGGGAAAATATAGACCAGCAGCAAATTAGTAACCCCTGAAACATGAAAGAATTGTGTCTGTGTCACGCTACCTTCCAAGGCTGTTTCTGAAGAGGAGCTCTCGTACTACGCCTTGCGCAGGAGTGTGCCTAAACTCACAATCTAGTCCCAGCTGTTTGGGTGAGGATTATTTTGTTAACCTGGCATCATTATACCAGTTATCGTACATTCTGCAGGATGGCAGCACTCAAGCGACCCTGGTAATCCCCAGACACAATCTCCCGCACCACCCAGGAAATATACGGACGTACGAGAGAGCCCAAGTCATCGCCAGCACAGAAAGAAACAAAGTTCAGGGTGCGCAAATGTTACACACCCTAAAAGTTACCACGGGAGAAGCTAGATAAGACGGTGCTGCGTTTAGTAACTTTGTTAAGCCATAAAACCACGCCGCGGCCCTGATCGTGCAGTGGGCCAGCCCCAGCACTCATGTGGAGCCCTTTCGAAGTCAGTGGGGACTTTTCGCAAGTGCACATGCCCTATCCTGTGCAAATCAGTGCAGGATCGGGGCCTTGATCCCTTTTAACAAGCGGGCGGAACTATGCCAAACAGCATCACAACAGCAGCCACGCTTTGCACTTTTCAACCATCCAATTTAAAACCTTCCCCCACAGCAACAAGTTTCCCAGGGGGGAAAGAAGATCTTGCTCAAACAAAGGCTGCAGGGTGGTTTGTGTCATTCATGGTTTCCTGCTGGCCGCTCTTTTGTTTTCTCAAGGGTATTTTCTTCACCGGCTCAAAAGTTGTGGCTTTCAGTTGATCACGTTCTCCAAAAAAAAAAAAAAAAAAAGGGGGGGGGGGGAGAACCTCACAAACCATTGCAGCAGGTGCTAAGCTTGTCCTAAGAGGTAGAAAACCAGTGAGCTGTAGCTCACGAAAGCTTATGCTCAAATAAATTGGTTAGTCTCTAAGGTGCCACAAGTCCTCCTGTTCTTTTTGCGAATACAGACTAACACGGCTGCTACTCTGAAACCAGCATTGCACGATTATTTTTAAATGCCAGCAAACAGGCAGGGCAGATGGTAACAGACACCACCTCAGCTTTTGCAGCTCATCTCTTCACTCCCACTTCCCTATACCACTCTCCAAAGCTTCCTCTCCCCAGAACATTGCACAGCCATACTCTGTCCTCGGTACCCCATTCCCTTCCCTATATCCCATGGGGGCACGGAAGCCGGACACCGCAGCAGTCTCTCCTGTCCTTCCCCATCCTGAGATAGCCTTTGGAGACAGCCCTAGAGGCAGACTCAAGTCAACAATTACCCCCAAAACAGGGTCAGTCCGAAGGCAGCAGACACACTTGCATTACTGCAAAAACCAGAGCAGTACAGAACGGAACTGGACCCGGATCACGCTTGAAGTTAAATAAAGTCCCAGGGAATATCAGCAACTGAAACCTCCAGGCAAAGACAAAGTGGGGTAGGAATTAAAGAGGACTGAGAAGGTAATCCAAATGCAGTCAAAAGAATTCAAAGGGGGAATTTATAGGGGGTGGATGGGATGAAATCAAAAGGCCCTGAAGGGGGTGAGAGAAGGAATTTGGGCTGGGGGTTGCAGTGGGGGGTCGGGGAGTGTTAGGGTTGGAAGGGGACTGCAATGGGGCAGAGGGGGAGTGTTTGGGTGGGGGGGGGTGCAGTGGTGCAGAGAAGGAATGTTTGGGTGGGGGAGTGCAGTGGGGCAGAGGAGGAGTGTTTGGATGGGGCGGGGTACAGTAGGGCAGGGGCAATACAGTGAGGACAGAGCACTGGGAAGTGGGGGAGCCCCAGGGGGCAGTGCAGGAGGGGTGCGGTGGAGCAGGGGGTGCGGTGAGGCGGAGCGGGAGTGTTTGGGTGGGGGGTGCAGTGGGGGCGGGGGCAGAGGGGGAGTGTTTCGGGGGGGAGTTCAGGGGGACAGTGGGGCATTCAGTGGGGCAGGGGGTGCAGTGGGGCCTGTGGGAGTGTTTGGGGGGTGCAGTGGGGCGGAGGAGGAGCGTTTAGGGGGTTCATGGGGGCGGTGGCATGGAGGGACAGAGGAGGAGTGTTTGGGTGGGGGATTCAGGGGGGCAGTGGGGCGGAGGGGGAGTATTTGGGTGGGGATGCAGTGGGACAGGGGGAAGTGTTTAGGTGGGGGGCTCAGGGGGGCAGTGGAGAGAGGAGGAGTGTTTGGTGGGGGGTGTAGTGGGGCGGAGGGGAGTGTTTGGGGGTGCAGGGGGTGCAGTGGGGAGTGTTTGGCTGGGGGGTGCAGTGGGACAGAGGGGGAATGTTTGGGGAGGTTCAGGGGGGCAGTGGGGCGGGGGAGTGTTTGGGGGTTGCAGGGGGTGCAGTGGGGCAGAGGGGAACTGTTTGGGTGGTGGGTTCTGGGGGGCAGTGGGGCGGGGGGAGTGCTTGGGTGGTGGATTCTGGGGGGCAGTGGGACGGAGGAGTGTTTGGGGGTGCAGGGGGTGCAGTGGGGCAGAGGGGAACTGTTTGGGTGGAGGGTGCAGTAGGGCAGGGGTTGCGGTGGGGGAGTGTTTGGGTGGGAGGATCAGGGGGCAGTGGGGTGGGGGGAGTGTTTGGGTGGGGAGTTCTAGGGGGCGGTGGGGCGGGAGGAGTGTTTGGGTGGGGAGTTCTAGGGGGCGGTGGGGCGGGAGGAGTGTTTGGGTGGGGAGTTCTAGGGGGGCAGTGGGGTGGGGGGAGTGTTTGGGGGTGCAGTGGGGCAGAGGGGTGGGGGGAGTGTTTGGGGGTGCAGGGGGTGTGGTGGGGGCAGTGTTTGGATGGGAGGGCTTGGGGGGGCAGTGGGGTGGGGGGGAATGTTTGGGAAGTTCAGGGGCAGTGGGTAGTGTTTGGGCGGGGGGTGCAGGGGGTGCGGTGGGGCAGAGGGGGATTGTTTGGGAGGGAGGGTTTGGGGGGTGGTGGGGGCGGGGGCAGTGTTTGGGTGGGGGGGGGTTGGGGGGCAGTAGAACTGTTTGGGAGGTTCAGGGGCAGCGGGGCGGGGGGAGTGTTTGCGGGGTGCAGGGGGTGCAGTGGGGCGGTGGGGGGCAGTGTTTGGGTGGGGGTGTAGGGGGTGCGGTGGGGCAGAGGGGGCAGTGTTTGGGAGGAAGGATCAGGGAGCAGGGGAAGCATTTGGGGGTGCAGTGGGGCGGGGGGAGTGTTTGGGTGGGGGGCTTTGGGGGGCAGTGGGGTAGTGTTTGGGAGGTTCAGGGGGCGGTGGGGCGAGGGGAGTGTTTGCATGGGGGGGTTTGGGGGGCAGTGGGGCGGAGGGAGGGTGTTTGGGAGGTTCAGGGGGCGGTGGGAGTGTTTGGGTGGGGGGTTTTGGGGGGCAGTGGGGCGGAGGGGGGTGTTTGGAAGGTTCAGGGGGCGGGGGAATGTTTGGGGGTGCAGTGGGGCGGGGGGAGTGTTTGGGTGGGGGGGCTTTGGGGGGCAGTGGGGCGGAGGGGGGTGTTTGGGAGGTGCAGGGGGGCGGTGGGAGTGTTTGGGGGTGCAGTGGGGCGGGGGGAGTGTTTGGGTGGGGGGGGTTTGGGGGGCAGTGGGGCGGAGGGGGGTGTTTGGAAGGTTCAGGGGGCGGGGGAGTGTTTGGGGGTGCAGTGGGGCGGGGGGAGTGTTTGGGGGGGTTGGGGGGCAGTGGGGCGGAGGGAGGGTGTTTGGGAGGTTCAGGGGGCGGTGGGAGTGTTTGGGGGTGCAGTGGGGCAGGGGGAATGTTTGGGTGGGGGGTTTTGGGGGGCAGTGGGGCGGTTTTTGGGAGGTTCAGGGGGCGGGGGAGTGTTTGGGTGGGGGGGTTTGGGGGCAGTGGGGCGGAGGGGGGTGTTTGGAAGGTTCAGGGGGCGGGGGGAGTGTTTGGGGGTGCAGTGGGGCGGGGGGAGTGTTTGGGGGGGTTGGGGGGCAGTGGGGCGGAGGGAGGGTGTTTGGGAGGTTCAGGGGGCGGTGGGAGTGTTTGGGGGTGCAGTGGGGCAGGGGGAATGTTTGGGTGGGGGGGTTTGGGGGGCAGTGGGGCGGAGGGGGGTGTTTGGGAGGTTCAGGGGGCGGGGGGAGTGTTTGGGAGAGGGGGGCAGGGGGGTTCAGAGGGGCGGAGGGGGGCACAGGAGGACGCCCCCGCCCCGGCGCGCACTCACCGGCCCCGTACTTCTCCCGCTTGGTGGGGACCCAGCGGGCCATGCTGGCGGGCGGGCGGCCGGGCGCTCCCCGGGCGGCGGCTCGGCTCAGCGCGGCAGCGGCCGCTCCTCGGCCCCCGGCCCCCGGCGCTGCTGTCTCGGGCTGGGCGCCCCGGGCTGCTCCGCCATGTTAGGGGCCCCGCTCCGCTCCCGCCGCTCGGCAGCGAACTTCCCTTCCCGGCAGCCGGGCGCCTCCCCCGGCCCCGGCCCCGGCCCCTCTCCCCGCCCCGGGAGCGATCACCTGCTCCGCGCCCTCCCTCCGCCCTGCGCCGGGACTCGGGTCGCCCTGGGGCCGCCCCGGGCTCGGATCTAGCCCCCGCCCCAGCCCGGGCTCGGATCTAGCCCCCGCTTCTCCCAGGCTCGGATCTTGCACCCCGACCCCTACCTAGCTTTGGCTCCCCTTTCTCTGAGCACTACCCACCCAGCCAGCCCAAGCTCGGATCTAGCACCCTCTGACCCCGGGCTCGGACCTCCACCTCTCTCCCACTATCCTCCGGGCACCTACTCAGATCTACGCCCCCCGCCCCGACTTGGGCAACTTTCCGGCAAGGCGCAGATTTGTTTCTGACAAGCTCTGTTAACCCTGTGCTGACCGCAGCCTGGATCTATTCCAGATGCTGCTTCTGCTTCTGAAGCGTTTCCCCCTCCTTAGTCGTTTGCACGATGCTGATCTGCAGTTGGAAAACGCGAGCCAAGCCACAGACCGGAGAAGAGGATTTTGAAAAAAGCAGAGGCCAGTGGGGAAAGATCCCCTCACCGGTCCCTCCTTTTACCCCACTCCGAGAAACAAAAGTCCATGGGAGGGTGGAGGGGGGACGTTTCCAAGATTTAACAGCGTTATTTAGTTTGTATTTTGTTTAAATTAAATTAAAAGTCCCTTCAGTGTAACAGATATACATAAAGCATTGCAATAAAACGACTACCAGCAGTGGGAAAACAATTGCAAGAGCACGTTTTTTCAGGAACACAACACAACTAGAATTATAGGCTCCCACCGAAGTGCATGGCAAAACTCCTGTTGACTTCAGCCAGGACAGGCTTGGGACCTTCCGTGAGCCATTTTAAAATGCTCAACACATAATTTATGTTTACATTACCGGTAGGCCCTACTCCTGCAAACAGATCTGTGCTGGTTTGAAGCTTACGCCCCAAACCTGGTTATCTGCTTCTGATGAAAAAGGTACCCCATTTATTTGTAGTGTGGAAAATCGTAGGGGAGGAAGGTGGAGGGTTTCAGAGGGACCCAAGAATTCTCTTAAATAACATACATGTGGATAATGGGGGGCAATGGCGCAACCACACACATGGACAGTGGCTAGTGCGGACGTACCTTTATGGTGCATTTACACTTGGAGCTGGAGGTATGATTCCCAGCTCAAGGCGATATGCTGGCACTAATTCCCATCCCACTAGCGCTGAGCAGCAGGATAGGCTAGCTCAGGGGTTCTCAAACTGGTGTTAAATATATTAAAACGTGTTTTTAATTTATAAGGGGGGGTCGCACTCAGAGGCTTGCTAGGTGAAAGGGGTCACCAGTAAAAAAAGAGTTTGAGAACCGCTGCTCTGAATATGTGCCTTTGGTCTTGCATGGGTATGTAGGCCCATGGCTAGCCACTCCCACTGCTCCTCAGGCTATGCCTTGCCCAGTGGGGTCCTGACCTCAAATGGGACCTGTAGGTCCTACTGTAATAAATAATATCTTGCTTCTCCCAAGACATGGCTTATTCACTGCTTGACAGAAGCTCAGTTTCAGGAATAAAGAACCATTTTTACTATTACAGTCCTTGCTAACAGTGTATGCTGCACTGTATCTTTAAATAAACCTGGTCCACTGTGTCAAAAATATGTAGCTCAAGGGTTTCTTACATGCACAGTAAGTTAGTCATCCTGTGGTGGTGATGTGTTGCAAGGTTACACCCAGTTTCTTTTAGAAAACCCAAGCCCTTCACTAAAAAAAGATGTCTTACATTTGTTTCCAAAAGGTGCTCATGATATTTTTGTGATGGCTATACCTTTATTCTGACAAACACATCTAAAGCAACGAGAGCATCAGGGGCAGCGTAGTTTGACACTTAAAGTGGCAACTGGTTGTGGGAACTCCTACCAGCGGCTCGGAGATGGAGCGTGTTTAATGGCTGGCGCAAGAGATTTACCAAGGGTTTACATTACAGGAAAAAAAGAGATACAAGTCAGAACTAGTTAAATAATTTATTCTTTATATAAACACCAACTCAGCTTTGTGCTTGATATGTGGCATATGTAAGAAGACCCTAAAAGCGTATAGTTCCTGGCCCTAAATGATTCATAGGACCAGATCCTCACAGCGATTTAGCCTTCTGAGGCCTCCCAACACCGGACAGGAAATGCACAGCACCTTGCAAGATCATGTCCATTACCATAGGATGTGAGCATCCTACGAAATTATGAGAATGGGTGAAGAAAAGATCTCAAGTGTGTAAATCACCTTTCCTTCTCCTACTGTACATAACTCATCTGAGCAGGTAGAAGGATTTTGCAAATCCTTGAACTCCATAAGATTCACCCATCCCACCTTAGGAAGCTTCATTTTGTAAAATGCTTTGAGATCCTTTGCCCATGCATGCGGTCAGATGCTCAGCCGTGCTAGGTTTGGACTTGGAGCAGCTGATAAGAGTGGGATAAGGGATGATAATAATGGTAACTCCCGATCTTTCTGCTCTGCTCTCGGACTGTCTGGTATCCAAAATGTCCCCTGGTGTAATTTAGAGCAGCCTTCCCCAGCCCCTGACATCCTCCCTTCGGAGAAAGAGCAATTGTGCATTGCTCCTGGAGGCCAGCCTTACTCTTGCTTTCCTGTGCTGGACCAAGAATCTGGCCAAAAATGCTTGCAGTAGCAGACAACCTTGATCAGTGCTTCAGGCTAGCCATTCTTCTCGCTGATGCAGTGTGTTACATTTGAGCAAATATTCAACTCAGTTTCAATGCCTCTCCCTAGGATATCCTTAGATAGTGGATAATGTCTGTTTCTTTGTGAGTAAGGCAGCCCTGTTTCTTATCACATGGACTGCACTTTTATCTTTGAAGTGACTTTCTGTACTGTCAGAGAACAGAAGAGGGAGAGAGAAATATCTTGGAGACAACAAGGGCTCCATTTTGAAAAGCGCTCAGTTCCCACAGTGAGGCTCAGCTTATCAAAAAAGGCACCAAATCAAGTGTCCAGTTTTTCAATATAGCTCAGCATGCTGGCTATCTGCCTGGGTGCTGCAGAGCTCTTTTGAAAGTCTGGCCCCTTACTTAGGTGCCTAAGTTGAAGCTGATCTTTTTTTAAAAAATGACCCTCAAAGTGTAGTTTGTTCAACCCTCTACTGCTACGTAGGGTCACAGGTGTCGGGTAACCTTGGCTGTGTGCTGGTGTCATGAACATTAGAATGGTGACAACTTTTTTCAAGGTGTTAAAGATTCTGCCCCTGTGTTCTAAGGGGGGCAAGGAAAATTTTTGTCAGCAAGTGGAAACCAAAAGCAAAACATAACCGATGAACAAACAGTAACTAGTGTTGATGTTTTTATTACTGAAATAGGAAACATTGGTGAATTTTTCATTAAATGTAAGGATTCATCAGCATCACTGCTGTACACAGTGAACAGTCTCAGATGTATCTCCTTCCTTTCAGTGTGGGGTTTTTTGGCTTAGAAAAGCGACTTTGTTCAAGTAACACCTCCTTTGCGCATTTGCTCCCTGTGGGTCTCTAAAAAAAATTGAGCAGATATGACTAAAGTTTTGTCACTGCTTAACCAAGATAGCTATGGAAGAGAGAGCTGGAGTCTATTCTCTCACCAGAACTGTAGGTTAAATTCTGATTGAAGTCACACCAGAGATGAATTTGGCCCACCTATACTAATTTAGCAATGTAGAAGGATGGTCTGGTGACAGACACTGGATTGGGACTAAGGAGATTTAGATTTAGCTCCTGGCTCCCAGTGTGACCTTGGCCCAAAGCACTTTAGAGTTTGATTTTAAGGAGGTGTTGATCCTTTGCAACTCACTCCCCTTAACCTCAGCTAGCCCCTAATCTCTCTGGGTCTCAGTTCCCCACCTGTAAAACTGGGGATTAATAGTCTCTCTCTGTCTCACAGGGGTATTGTGAACATATATTCATTAATGGTTCTGAGCTACTCAGGCCCAGATCCTCAAAGGAATTTAGGTTCCTAACTTCCTTTGATTACGTGCTTTATAATCTTTTAATTTCTATTGGAAAGAGCAACACATTTGATTTCAATCCAAGGTAAGCCCAGAGCCTCAAAGATATTGAAGCTCCTCAGTTACTATTGTGATGGGGCCACATACGTATCTAGAATGATAATAGAATTTACATCACCTCTGAATATGGCCCAATGGTCCCCAAGAAAGACACATACCTAGTTTAATACGAAGCACCCTTTCCGGACAGATTTTCAAAGTTTCCGTGCAACTTGAATTTTTCTTGTTTTTTTGTTTTTTGTTTTTTTTGCTGATGGGGAATTTTATAATCTTTGTCTTCCAGGAACAAGAAGATTCTCTCTGCAGGAGCAAAACTGTTCTCTTCCTGTGGATTACTGAGCTAAAAGGCAGATAGTAAATGTGGGCAGTAGGTCAGATCTCCATTACCTGGATGTTTGATTGCAGGGCTGGAACTCATTGCCTGCAAGATAACCCAGCTGCGAAGGAGACAGGGGTTCTTCTCCCAGCTCAGTCATTGACTTGCTTTGTGACTATGGACAACTCACGTCCCCTCATGGGCCTGGGGACGATACCTACTTGTATAGAGTATGTTGAGACCTAACAACTGTTATTATGGTCTGATTTTTTTAAATATAAGTAATAAAAAGTCAACGTTGAATTTGGTGCGGATTTACTTCCCGGGCAATTACACTGTAGTCAGTGTGCAAATCCAAGTCGGTGAAGAAGGTGGCAGACTATTTCTGTTGCCTTTTTCACACACGCTGGAAATGTACGTGCTTTATCATCTTTTAATTTCTATTTGAAAGAGCAGCACATTTCTAAGCATTTTGAACCGTTAAAGCCAACCGCTCTGAACCTATAATTT